CCATCTGGCTTTTGGACGCCTGGGAGCCTGCCCCAGATGTAAGCTAATCTAACCTTTAGGCGGAAAGATAGCCACCAAACACCGTCGACGCCTGCTGTCTGCATAGATCAAGCGCCTAGCAAGGCTAAATTACGTGAGCATTTCTGTGCTGCTAGCCACTCAAGGCCCTCAATAATAAGAGTAGTTTTAGCAGCATGATGTCAACTTCACCTTCCTTCTCTTTTCCCTTACCATCTTGGACTTGAACCGTCTCGAGCAATAGCTAAAAACCCGTGGAAAAGCGGTAACACCGCACAAAGCTGAAATGGCTGTGAACAGAACTGCGTGCGCCAGGCATTTTTCTTTTTTTTTTTTTAGACAGCTGACGGCCGATAATTCGGACGAAATCCCTTCCTGAACGGATGATCCTCTCACGGGAAGGGATTTCCTCCGGCGCACGATTCGAATCAGCGGAACGGCGCGTGGTGTATACATGGGCCGGATAGTCCGGATCGAGGACGGGTCCCGGCTTAATTCGAATCACAGCTGCCCATGTAAACAGGGTAATTGACAACCCATGTGATGGTGGAGAGGAGTCCTACCTCCAGGCTTTCTTAGCTTCTATTGGCGTCCCCTTGTCACCTCCGAGCCATGTCATATCAGGAACTGTCTTGTCTTGTGCACCTTGGCAGTCAGGCATACACAGTGCTTCAGCCATTTACTTTTGGTCATCATTAGGTGTTATATAAGAGTTTGCCCTTCCTTGTTTTCCCAGTTGCCAGAGAAATGGGCTCACATCTAGTCTGGAGACTGTGGCTTGAATCCCAGCAGTTCCAAGGGGATAATTTTGGCCATGATGCATGCATGATCAAAAACCAAACATTATCCGGTTGTTCTCGGGCCTGCATAACCTGGGACAACAGACTGGTGGCTGTTTGAAATCATGTCCAGATATAAACTTGTGGGTTCACTGGACAAGGATATCCAAAAAAATATTTGATTGGTAATGGCAATGTATAGCTATTATTTTTGAAGCTATTATATTAATTTGGAATAGTATTCAGACTATTTTGCATGTCATTAGGGCCTTTTTATTTCTTCAGCCATTTTAAGATGTTCACACTTACTTTCTCAAAGCTATAATGCAGAACACATGGGCATGTGAAAGTGAATGGATGGTTTGAGGCAGGGTGTAAGTGCATCAATAATTAGTTCAACTTCTTAATGGAAAAGTGTGATGCCTGACATATACTCAGTAATGCTCAAATTGAAATCCAGGAGGACTTGCTTCACATTTTGTAAGTACCTAGTCCCAGTACCTTTGTACATCATGTAAATACGCAGGCATACCAGGAACCTGTATTCAGTAAACTGCCCCCATCTTATATGCATGTGAGACAAAAGATCTGGCATAATAGGCCTGAAACATCCAACCAAATTTATCTGGGCTGCTTTAAAACAGGGCCTAGTGTGATCAGATGGGATTAGACATGAGAAGGAGGTATGTACTCTATAGAGCAGCAATAGCTGTTAAAAGGTGTGATGTCTTGGCATGATGACAGACATGTGATACAAAATCTTGATACACACCTGAGCAAAAGTATTTCATAGGCTAGGGCAGACAACAAGAGGTAGTTTTCAACAGGACACTGTGGTTTCATGTGACCACACCTTATGGTGTGTTGTTAAGATGGGTGCAAATAAGTGTTGGCAACAAAATTGACCCAGATACATCACCATAAGTACATTGAAAGCATGCCATTGCCAAAAGTTGTATTTCTGCAGCACATCAACAGTTTGCAAAAATTTGTTATTTTTTTAGCATGGGTTCTTATGGCATCATGGACCTCCCTGTAAAGTAAGGACAGTCTTGAACATGCCAATGATGTCTGTTTTTCCAAGGAAAATGAAACAGGCCAGCACAGGCCGTGTTAGCCTCCGGCTGTAATCAACATGCAGCACTTGCCAGTAGTAATCAACTTAAAAATGACTGGATGCAGAAGCTAGTTTTTCTGGCTAGTTTCATTTTGGGTTGAGATACACTCATTAGCACACTCAATGTCATCCTTTAAAACTTTGCAGTAGCTCGGGGCTGTCCTCCCCAATGCAAAATCCTGTATGCTCCCTTTGTGGATGTGCATACACAGGTTCAGGCTATGACTATGCACATATGAGATGCATGATGCATTATTAAACTTGTGAATGTTCATTGACATTCATGTTGAATTGGGTCCAGAGTTCGTGCTTAAAGAGCAGAGGTGTTTCTGCTGCTCACAGAGCATTGTGATCTTAGCAATATGGATCTGCTCACAACAATATTTGCCAAATTTGGTGCCAGGGCTGTTCATGTCTGCTGGTCTACCGCTCCATGCAGTATGCTATGAAAATGGGCCACCATTTATGTATGGTACACCATGTATGGTTCATGATGTATGACCCACCATTATTTGAAATGATAGCCACCAATAATATCAAAATATCATGTGTTGGTGTGTGCTCATATTTTTTGCTTGTTTTGACATGGTTATATAGGTTATTGCCAACAAAATGTGCAACTCAGTTTTGGAAACATTTTTGGCACACAAAACTGGCAGATGTGAACAACTGGGCAACAAACCTCAGAAGCTTTGGTTGGATCAGATATTTTGGGTTAAAAAAGTGTTTCTTGCCTAAACCATCACACAATCCAGTTAACAAACTTTTCATAGCATACAGAATTCTGAGACTTTTGGATGCACTGCCGACTTTGCGCCTTCTGCTATGCATTGAGTTTTAATGCAAAAATTGTTAATCATCATGTTTTGACAATGGTGACTTCTAGATGTCTGAACATAGATATGCATCATCTTGTCATGAATATAAATCCTTTCCGTGGCCCACTGGTAAGGGAAGGTGTCGAGAGCTTTTCTTGATGCATCGAGCCATCATGCTTTCTCACACCTTACAACGTCACAAAATTGTCCAACCTTTCGTTTGGAGTCCCCTAAATTATTAGATCATTTAGAATACATAAGTATACAAGTTGATACATCATGAGCTTGATGGCGTCCGGCCCGCCGTGGGTGACGGAGCTCTCCTGTTTGGAAGCGCCACCATCCGCTGCGTGATGGAAGTGACTGACGAGCACTGGCCCCGTCGCTGGAGCGGCGCCACGGGGCACGCGCGTCAGCCCGGCGCGGCGCCGCTGCTGACGCGGTGCGGCCCGGCCCCATCGCCGCTGCGCGCACCGGAAGCAGACCGCCGCCGGACGAGGGGGGCCGCTTTGTGCCGGCCGCGGCCGGCGCCGACGGCAGATGGCCTCCTTCCTTCCGGCTGCCGGTAGCCGGCGGGCATCTGGGTCAGGACGCGCGCAGCCTCCGGCCCCGCCCTTCACGATGGCCGCCGTGTACAGCCACGCTCGGACGGGTCGCGTCCCGCCCGCACCGCCCCCTCCGTCCGCCGCTCGATCGGGCCCGGCTCCGGTTGCCGGCGGTATTTGTCGCCCCCGGGCTCGGTCGGGATGGGGGAAATGGATTTGGCGATTCCATCCAGACGGTCGTTGGTTGGTTGGCACGCGTTGGCGCCAGATTGCTTATTCTCGCTGGACTACTGAAAACGCTGATAATTAGCTGATAGAGACGCAAGGTCGTTGGCACGAGTAAACGGTGGCATAGGAACTGTGGCATTCATGAGGACAAACTGTGTATGTAATCATAACACTTCTGCTCCCTGAAATAAATCGTCCAAATCACATGCAGTCTTGTAAATTTTAATGTTGCAGCTTTGTGGGGACCTAAGAAGTCCCTGTAAACTTTTGAATCAGTGTAGAACGTAGAACCCAGAAGAAGGAGTTGCGATAAATAACGTCATTGAACGGAGAACGAACATCACATTGCAACTAGCTGCACCGCATACCGGGTTTAAGACCGCGTCGACGACCGTGACCTTTTGCGCTGCATCCCAGCCGTGGTGTGATCGTTATCGCAATGCGAGGCCCCTGCACTCCGTGCTGTGAGACATCCCTCTCCGACGCTGCTCCGCAGCAGGGGCGGATAAAGAACTTACGAAAATTGGGGACACGTACGCTTGGTACGGCGTATGACGGGTTTGGTGGGCAGGTTAAGCACGAAGCATTCATGCATTTGCGATCTTAAAAAGGCTAGTTTGGTGTTTTATTCCTGAAAGCCTTCCAGAACCGTCAGCCAACATTTAGGAGTGCTCGCTGTAATATATACTCACCTTGTTGCCGCGCCTTGCGGGCGGGCAGAATGAGAAGAAAGAAGATATGACGTCTGTGGCAAGTGAAGCTGCGGACGCGAGACGCTTAAGAACTGTAATTCTCCGGCTTTTCCCTGAATGTGCAATCAGTGGCATGTGCGAAGACGCCTTTTCCCAACGAGGCAGTCCAACCGGCAAGCTACTTTACCAAGCTTCCGACATGTGTGTCATGCTTGTCCATGTCCCCTGAGGGAACGAGGTTTCTGGCGCGGCTCTTTTATGAGATGCCTAGTGGACGCGGGCGGCCGGTCATGTGACGGCATTATGCGTCGCTAATGTGTGGGCGCAAATCAATGCGATCAGCGAAAATTGCTTTGGAGTTGCTGGGGTCACGGTAAGCTTTGCTCAGATACGACGGTTTTCAAGCCAGTCCTGGAGAGCTCTGCTGTGTTAAAAATGTTGAATACGTACCTGCCGCTCAGCCAAAAAAACTTCAGCAGAAACATCAAATCCAGGCAGCCCAGATCCTCGATCCCGGACCATGAAATGCGTCTTCCGCGAATGGACGCGCGTGTGCGTTATTCCCTGTGAACTGTGTTTATAGTTACCCTGTGCCAGGGCAGCCGCTGCGCTGCAGCAGCGCAGTCGCCCGGCGTGAAATGTTCGCGTTCTGAAGTGAACGTGCGCTACCCTGGCGCCAGGGTACTCTCGATCGTGCGTCGTCCGCGTGCCGGACCGCTGCTGTTTCACATGGCCGGCAGCGGTCCGGTCCCCGCCGGCGCGGCCGGCATGTCGGGCGGGGCCGTCCCGTCGCACCCGCCCGCCCGCCGCCGTCGCCGCCGCCGCCGCCGCCGCCAGCCGGCCGGCCGGATCGATCTAACCGGGGGCGTGTCCGGCGGCACGCGGCGGACGCGGCCATCCCGGCGCGACCACCGCCGATTACACAGGTGCCGGCGCGGAGCGTACGGCGCGGCGGCTGCGGCGGTGCCGTGCGTGAGGGTGTGACACGCGCTGTCGACCGGATGGCGGGTGCCGCTGCCGCGCTGCTGCCGTCGGCGCCCGGGTCACGCGCCGTGCCGGCCAGCGGCGGCGGTTGGAGGCGCGCGCGCGCGCACGCTGGTGCCAGCCCAGGCCCCCCGGTCTGGCGCTGTCGGCCGGTGCCTGCCGCGGGGAGGTGAGGGCGGGCGGCGTCGGCTCCCGGTGCCTGGTGGTCTGTGTGTGGGCGGCTCGGAGTCCGGCCTCTGCCGGCTGGCGCGCCCGGCTCCGCGACGCCAGGCGGCTTTCTTGGCCGTGCAGGTAGTATGACCAGACCATGACTTGTGTCGTGTGCAAGTAGCGGACTCGCTTGCTGTTTGTGATATGCACCGCCGTGCCGGTGAAGGGGCCGGTGCCGGTGGACCCGCGTCCCCCGCAGGGCGGGGCGCGTTTGTTGACCCAGGTACAGCCGTGTGTACAGAAGTGACCGTGCAGTACCCGTCCGCCGAACGTTTCGCTCCGTGTCTCCGTGACATAGGTGCCGCGGGGCCGTCAGCGTTCGGCGCCGGGTGGCTCGCTGCCTCGTCTTAAGCCGGATTGTTGGGCGGAGCTGGCTCGGCTCGACCCGTCAGCTAACGCGGGGCGGCCGCAGTCCTGGAAAGTGTCCACCGGGCCTCAGTACCGAGCGCTGCTGAGTATGGTCAACGCAACGCAGTTTTCGCTGACGGAGCGGTGATGTTGAGTGCTGCACATGTGGTCGGAGCCGTCTGCTGTGTCTGCGAGCCGGTCGATGGCGACTTCCGACTCCGGTCCTCCGCCTCGTGAAGGCCGGTAAATAACTGCTCGCATCGTTTCATTTGTCGTGTCAGTTCGAATTAGGGTCGCCGGCCCACGCGCGGCAGGAGGACGCTGACCTTTCCGCAGATCAAAAGCACCACGGGGCCCTCTAGCGGCCAAGGCAAAAAGCTTTACTGAAAGTCATTATTTTTCCCGGCGTTGTGGGTTTTGTATTTGATTATCACATTGGATGTAACATATTTGACATGGGAGAACATGTTCGTTTCGGGATCTCTTGTTCGTCTGTGACACGTGATGTCTTCTTCCCACGCCAAGCCCTGGCGTAATATGAAGTTATTATTCGTGTCTTCGCCACACGGCTTCCGCGTCGGCAATCCTATCTCGGCCGGCGCCGGCCAGAGCCCCGGTGCGGACTCGTTGCTCCGCGGGGTCGGCCTGTTGGATGCACGCTGGTGAGTGGGTTTTCGCGACTGCGGGCGAGCCTACCGTGAGCGTCCCGTCAGCGGCCGCTTCGTCGGAGTACTGGCCTGCGGCTCTGTGTGTGGGCTGTGTGCCGGACGCCGGTCGCCCCATCAGACCGGCGTGTCGACTCGAGCCGGCAGGCGTCGGGACCGGAGCCGAGCCCTGTTCCCGGTCGGCTCGGGTCGCCACGGTCAGGCCCGCTTCCGGCCGTCTCGTGGCGCTGGCGGCCGCCGGGCCCGTGCCGGCAGGACACGGGCCGGCCGGGGGAGGGGGGGAGGGGTTGTCCGGATAGGGGTGTGGGGGGCTCGTTGCGCGCTGCGGCGGACCCGGTGGCCTTCACTGCGGCGCCAGCGACGGGCCACGTGCCCCCCGACTCGTCCAGCGGCAGGCGGTCCCTCGCCGCGCTGCAGCGGCTTCGTCCGGATAGCTCGGCGCGGAGGACGTGGATCGGACGTGCGGCCCATGTCGGCCACCGGCGCACGCGCGGGCCGTGGCCGCGTTCGGCGCCACTGGCGGCAGGACGTGCGGCTCCCGGAGCCGCCGCCGGGGGCGTGTGGCTGAGCGCCGGTGCTGGGGCGCCGGCGGATAATCGGACATACGCGTCAACTGCCGCAATGGAAATGTCCTTGCAACAGCGGGATAGCTCGTCTTGGCCTGGCGGCAGTGCTACTTGCAGAACATTTTCCGCACACGCTGCAAACTGTGCTGACTGCTCTCGTCTTGTTGACGTCCGCGAGACGATTCAGGCTCCTTGGTGGTGTGTCGGGCTCGTGGTACCCGTATTAGGCCGATTGGGGCGGTATCGGGTTGGTCAGAAGTGCCGGGATGTTTGTTTTCAGGGACTGGGCGTGTGTGAAAATTTTGCCAACTTCATTGTTTGGAAACTTTTTCGAACCTCAGCAAATGTGGAGCAATGGGATTGTGGCCGGGTGCGCGCACTGCAACTGAAACATCTCGGAAGAAGTACAAAACTCTACTGGTGGTGCTGGTAGCCGTATTCCTTGGTTCAATGTCGGCAGAGTCTCACGGCAGCGTGCGATGTCGGCACTAGTGAAGGGGAGCCTCCCTCCTCACCATCCCCTCCCTTCACACACTCCCAGCACCCCGTCCTCGGAGCCTGAGGTGAATCCCGCCTTTGCGGACGCTGTTGGAGGCTGAGCCAGCTGGAGTGGGATTAATCTCGGCTGTCTAAGTGGGACGCAGTTGAGAGGTGTGTCCCCTGGAACGATAGTGGGCTCGCCCAGCAGCCTTCAGCGAAGTCATTCATTACGGACAATCCAGGACGCGGCAGGGATTGGATCATGATGGATGAAGAAGTTTGAGCAAGTGTTGTTACGTTGTGAGCGAAAGTTACGTGCATGAGTCGCGGCGACTCACATGTTAGGTTAAAGCACGGATATTTGGGAGTGACACGAAGCGCGTTTTACCCTGGCGTTTAGCGTTGGACAAAGTTGGCGCCCGTTTCCTTCTTCGGATTGGCCACGCGTGCTACGCTGTCGTACATGCTGTGTTTTGGCAACGAAGCCAGCTGTCTTCCCCTGAAGTGTCCTGCCCTTTTGCAAGCTCAGTGCGCATATGCTTTTGAGCTACGACGCACGCTGTTTATGGCTTGTGGAATTGATCAGTTGTTTGGCGGGAGTTCTGCTAGTTGCGGCTTGATCGCCCGATTTGGAGGCTTACGGACCACTTCGCGTTAGTCAGCTTCTTTGAGCGCTTAGACGTAGCGCCGCCGGGCTACAGACTGGAAAGTTAACGTGCTTCCTCTCGAGTTCCGTTTGAAATTCCAGGGCTGTTTTGTCGAGAACAATAGGCAATAAGCGCATGGGGTCCGCTCGGTTAGCTCCGCCGGCGCTGGAGGGATGTGGCATGGACGTGTCCCGCGGTCGGGCGGTCGTCGCTGGCTTCTCCAAACTGCCCATGAGTGCAGTGGAGCGGTCCGGACGGGCCGGTGACGCTGGATGCACCCCCTGGCGGTGTCGGTTGGGCCGGCGGCCGGCGCAGCGGCTCTGATTCACTGCCGGCTGATCGATGCTGGACCGCCCCCATCCCTGCCGGCCGCCCCCTCGGCAGGCGCCGACGCGCCCCGGCCAGACGGCCCGCGCCGGCCAGCCGGCCGGCTCGCCTGGAAACTCAGGTGAACGGGGTGGGGACCATGCCTCGGTTGCTGGGCCGGCACCGCCAGTCCGTGCTATCCCGTCTTGTCGGCCGGCGGGTTGGCTTGGTCGTCACGGGCTGTTGCCTGAGACGTGCCAGGAGGGAGAGTGGGCGGAGCACTGTGATGGGAACGAGGCGGAGAAGGCTCGTCCAGGGCACTGACACAAGGCTTGTGCTTTCCCGTTGCGTAGGGCGGGTCTACAGCGGTGGCGCACGGGACCTTTTGATTCTATGCTTGCTTCCCCGATCCTTTGCAAAGCAACAAAGTAAGCCCGTGGAGTGGTAGTGCCGCAGCGGAGTGGTAATTTTGTTGATACGTTTCCATGATAAACCTTACCAGGTGGATATTTGTTCTTGGAGCAACCGTCTGTCGATCAGATCAACTCAACATATTTGGGGATTTATCCACAGCTATATGACAACTTTTGCCCTCAACTTCGGCCATTTCTTCGCCTGACACAGCCTGGAGGAGGGCGTGAGCTCCAGCAGACCACCACAGGCCTCGAGATGGGCTAGCCTGTGATGAGTCAAACCTCGAACGTGAAGGAGTGGGGCACCCGGGTCTGATGGCAGGGAACATGCGTCACGTCATGTTTCGGTACTGCGTTACCCGCGACCGGTGACGTGCCCGTAACGGCTGCGTCACGCGAACCCCTGCGTCACATGAACCCCTGCGCTGGCAGTGGCGGGCTCCGCTGACCCCGGAGAACGCTGGCCGGTGTTAAAATGAACGCGGGCTGGTGCCGGCAGTGACGGAGGATTACGGCAGGCGGGCTGGTTGACGTCGACAGCGTTTAATCCAGGCCTTGCATGGAAGTGGACGATGCGCCGACTGAGGCCGCCCCAGCATATCACAGGGTTATGTTGGTTATCGGTGCGTCGGTTTCGCCGCTTCGAACTTGCGATATCGTTTAACACGAGTAAAAGAAGATAAACGCATGGTACCGCCGGGAGCGGGTGGTCGCTGCCGTCGGCTTTTGAGGCGCTGATCGGGTGTTGGGGCGAGTTTTGATGACGGGGGGAAGGGTTGGCTGATTTACTGGTCAGCTGGCCCGATGGTTTATTGACCCGGATTGAACCGTGGGAAGATAGCTGTTGTGAGCAACGCTGTCCATGAGGACATTGATCATATTTATATAACTAGAGTATTTTGTTAAAAGTGATAATTCTAAAAATCTTATTATGATTGCTTGACAAAGATTGGTTTAGATCAAAACGGCACTGATGTGCTGTCTGGGACAGGCTCGTTTATCATTGATGGCGGTAGTTTGACTAAAATCGGCACTAACGTGCTGGGACAAGCTCGTTTACCACGGTTGGGGATGACAGCAGGCCGATCGTCACGGTCGGCGATAGCTGCGGTTGGGGATGACAGTAGGTCGACCGTCACGGTCGGCGATAGCTACGTTTACCACGGTTGGGGATGACAGCGGGCCGATCGTCACTATCGGCGATAGCTACGTTTACCACGGGTGGGGATGACAGCAGGCCGACCGTCGCGGTCGATGATGGCTATGTTTACCACGGGTGGGGATGACAGCAGGCTGATCGTCACGGTCGGCGATAGCCACGCGCTGGCCGTCGCGGTTGGCGGTGGTGACGTGCCGGCGGTTTCAACAGGGGGGTCGGTCGTTACGATGAAACTTGTAGTGGGTGGCGCTAACCTTCACATGTGACGTTGGTGACGCTGGATGACATAGCGGCGTCAGTCACGGATATCATATGTCATAAATCAGTGCTGCTGATCAGTGCAGATACCGTTGCTATTAAAGGCGTTGTTTCACTGAGCCGGTTTTCGGAGCAGTGGACACCCATTTAGCGTATTTTAAAGCATTCTAGTCACAGGTGGATGACCGTTTGCCACACACGGCGAAGACCGGGTCGCGGCGCGTGGATGTAGGGATTATGCAGGGTAGTGCCTGATGGTGTCCCGGTGCTGAACTAGGTGTTAGGGTCAGTGTATTGTTGTTCATGCGCCAGCTGTTGGCCTCCGTCGATCACTTAAATTCGTCGCAGAATGCACGAATACTGTTGGCGCGGATAAAGAGAGGGATATAAGAGGGATGACAGCCCATGCTGGAATGTGAAGAGTTTTGAACGGACTGTTCTGTGACGGGAAGGAGGTCATGCCATCCTTGCATAGCTCGGATGTCGCAGAAGGGGGTGCAGTTTCGCCCTACGAGAGGCCGCAGGGCCCCCACCCCATCCCCACCCTTCCCCCCGCCCTGCGATTTTTCCGGAGTAATTTCTGAACGGTTTGAGCATGGCGCTGATGGTTGGGTACCAGAGTTTACCTCATTGTTGACCCTGCTCTGGGGTATGATCAGAGGCGCACACAAGTTTCCGGTATGCAGGAGAGCGACGGTTTACGGTGAACGGTCTGCTCAGCATAAAATGCTTGTATTTCCTGAAATGTCAAGGTCCTGCATCCGCCACTGATGCTGGAGATGATAGTGACGGCCTTGAAACAGGCGTGGGTTCGGAGGATTTATCTGTTTTAACCAGATGAAAGTTTTTAGGTGGGCTCGCTCTCCTTGCCGTACTACTGAAGTTATCGAAATAGTCGTCCTGACAAGCTAGTTCATACCACGAGTTTCGTTTCAGATTTTGCTAACTCAAATCGAACTGGCATCCCCTTCCCCCGCATGGAGTTCCAGCGGGATTAATTCCAACTGGATAGGGTCATAGAAGAAAAGAGATTATAGCATAGCGCACTTCAAACCATGCCGTTGGTACCAATGATTGGTATGCCACACTGTTGGAAGTCGACTCATAGGTCATGACATTTCAATATCTGGCACCATCCCAAGGTCTAGTGTGTCGCCGTTCCGCTGCCGCCCTGTCACACCTATATGTAGAACACCCACCGCTCGTAACTCATGGAGCAACATGTGAGTATGCAGCAGAATAAGCAGGAATTCTGTACATGGATAAAACAGGAGGTTTGAGTTTTGCGCAACGGGCACGTGGGTGAGGATAGCGCTACTGTAGTTCGGTATGTGGAGCGCTAGTTCGTAATGCATTAATGCACGGTGTTCCGTCACACGCGTGGACGACCAGTGACCTCTCCTGACCTTCATCGCGGGTCACGTGAGCGGACCGCGTGACTTGCCAAGGTGCTTGCAAATAAATTACGGCTGACCCGCACTTCTGTACTGGTGTGTGGCATACGGCTCTCATTAAATGAACCAATTTATAAATAATCAATGGTGATATTACTATTAAATGAATCACTAATCGCTGGTAATATTGTTAGTACCGGTGCGAGTCAAGTCGTGACTAAATGCAGATGCCAAGCTGTCTAGGACGGCGCTAAATGCGTACACACTACGCACTGTACACTGGTACTGCTGCGGTACACATGCGTACACACTGGCACAGCTGCGGTACCGATGAGGTGCCGGCACTAGTGCTGTTGAAGTTGGGCGTATCGGATGGGATCCAATGTCGAGTCAGTCGTCAGGCTTGATGGAAAAAAGAAGAAAACGGTTACATTGTGTGGATAGTCGTCCGCCAGTTATGGCGCACAGAGGTATTTTGAGCACGAAGCATCCACCCGTACGCTTGTTTCTTGTTTGTTGGTTTTTTTTACATTTCGTCGCGCTCGGTGTCTGGTCGGCGCCGTGGTGGCCTTCCTGTAGGCGCACACGTGCGCGCGTACAAATGCCGGTTTCCGTGGCTGTAGCGTGCACCTGAGCCCGCAGCGCTCGGCGCGTCGACGCAGTATCTTCGATATGTGTCACGCGGGACAGTCTGGCCCTGCTGTTTCGAGTTGGGGAATGTCGCCAGCCGTGTGGTCGGGTGGCGTGTCCCGATCCTGTGCCCGCCAACGACGCCCGTCCCGGTGCTGTGCCCGCCAGCGACACCCGTCCCGGTGCTGTGCCCGCCAACGACGCTCGTCCCGGTGCTGTGCCCGCCAACGACGCCCGTCCCGGTGCTGTGCCCGCCAGCGACACCCGTCCCGGTGCTGTGCCCGCCAACGACGCTCGTCCCGGTGCTGTGCCCGCCAACGACGCTCGCCCCGGTGCTGTGCCCGCTAACGACGCCCGTCCGCTGTTGCAGCCTGCCGGCCTCAGCATGTCGTCGACGCGCCCGCTGCTGCTGGCGTCCGCCCTGCTGCTGGCCTCGCTCCGTACGGCGTTGGCACGTGAGTATTGAGCGTGTGCGCGTGCTGCCGGAAGCTCATGGGGGTGGTAAGGAGCGAGTGGCACTTTCGTGTTGAAATTTGATTGGCACTTACGTGGGGCTGTAGGCTAGGCGGGACCGATTCCGACTGCAAGGTCAGATTTTCAAGCTTGTCATCACAAGTTTCATTTGAAACATTGACTCTCGCGAAATTCTTCCATCGGGCTATTTGCTCTTGGTTCTGGGGAATTAACCCGTGTTAGAACCGGAATGTAGTTTTGTAAAATAAGTTAGGAGAGCAGAACAGGGAAAAATCGCTAACTTGCTCCCAAGATATAATAAAACGGTCTTCTTCTCAGATTTAACCAAGTCCCTCTCCAATGCGGGGGGGGGGGGGCGGGGGCTGGAGATTTCCGTCAGTTCACAGGTGACTACAGCCGTGTTCGACAAGATCTGCTTTAACTTTGTCTCAATTTAAAAATAAAAAAAACGCTGGTCCGTGGAATGCCACTAGAGTTCAGCTTGCTTCTATTCAGATTCAGAATCGGATCTGGAATCGTCCATATTGTCGAGATTTAAGGCTGATTTGGGCCCCTAGCGTCTGGAGGGGTTCTGAATTAGATTTGGTTCGAATGTCCAAGAGCTTCAGAGTGACGGTGGGCAAGTTGGAAAACAATGACGTCATGATCAAGGCATTTCTTGAAATGGTAGAAACTGTGCTTGATCTGTTGTCAACAAGTCGCATAGCATGGAGATAAACACAAAACGGTATCAAAATATATCTTAGGTGTGCACGGCATTTAAGGAAGGTTAACAGTAAAGGCTTTCACGTATATGTATGCCGTACTGAAACTGTTCGTCCTACAAATTTTCAATATAAAAACGAACACTTGGTACTTCGGGAGAGCGTGAATGCTTTCCTCACGCACCCATGAACGGGGCCCTAGGATGTGTTGTTGAATGTACAGTGGTGCAGACAATTCACACATGCTCTAAAGCTTGCAACACCCCAGCCCTGGGATATCAATAACATCTTTAAGTTCTGGCGATGCTGCTCTATTGCATTGCTTATACCGCATATATTTGGTTTGATTTGGATCATATTGTGATTTAGAATTCCCATTTTGTTTGATTCGGGAAGAGGGTCGAAATGAGGCCTGATATCATCGACCAATTCGAATCACCATTCCAAAAGTAAAGTTGTTTCGAAGCTCGATGCGGTTTCCAGTTATTCTGAGTCGATCGCTTCGATTGATGCGGCGTCACACCTGGCGCAAGTTTGGCCGTTGCTGACGACCTTCGGAGTGAGTCTGACGGTAGCATATAGCATCTTGCCGGCGGAAATACGGCATGCATTGCACTCCGACCGGCGGAATCCCGGTGGACCTCGATGCATGAGATCCAGCTCAATCTCGTCCGTCTCGCCGCGAGCGCCAGTGCCCTGCCGCAGCACGTGGCGCCGCGTTGGTGAAATCCCAGCAAACATCTCTGCTGTGTGTGGCTGGCGGCCGGTGGCCTGATGGCGCCAGCCGTGACTCGTGTTAGTGCTGTATGTAGCTTCGGCTGCCATTTTCAGGCTGGAGATTTAAGCTAAATATTTTGCTTGTTTGTTGCTTTGGTGGTCTCGATTCGTTTCCTATCGTCACGTGCAGTGATTACTAATCTCGCGCAGCGCGCGCTTAAAGCCCACATCATGATTTATTGTGTACGGAAGGTATTGAGCACTAGCCTTGCAGAGTGCAAGCAGCATGGGGTATGCTGTCATAACACCCATATGTTGGCCGTACAAGGCCCAGTCAACCAAAGGCACCCGTCCTGCATAGGCCTGCTGGGATCGGCCATGGAGTTCCCACACTTGTATTGGGCTGTTTTGTGCTTTGCGATGCGATCCAAGTTCGCAAATTCAAGCTAAAATGCATGTTCGCCAATCCTAGTTGAGTTAAAGTAAAATAAGGTGCAAGTTTGTGTCAGTCATTCGGCTTGTTTTCTTACGAGTTGCATGCCGCCAAAAGGAACCTGGCAAAATGTCACCGGCCTTGTTGCCTCGTTCTGACCGATATGAAAAGTGCGCAGTTGGTGCAGGGCACCAGATAATCGTCGAATTGTGTGCTGCTGTCGGGCGTCCGTCGGACAACGGCACGTAGATACGCCTCCCCAGGGATGGATGGGTGGTGGTTGGAGACAGCTTCACGGATGACTGGGGATAGCTGACGACTGATGTGCCACCAACAGTGTCGGATGTGTGCTGGAGGGTGGGCTCTGCGGATGGCAAGGATTTGCTCGCCATTGTTCTGGTCAGACGGGCTCAGATTCCAGCGCCACCTTTCTGGCGCTGACAGCGCCATCTAGACACGTGATGGGCGGGATGCGACGGCGTTATGCACCGCGCTCCGTCGCCTTGGCGGCCTATTTCTGGGCCCGCGTATGCTGGCATTCGCTAGAATGAGGGTTCGGAAGTTCAACACAACGCTGCATTGCCTTTAAATCACAATTTCTACTCGTATTTACTGCATGTATGCGTAGTAATGCTACAGGTGGGAAAACCTGCCTGGGTGTGACGTCACAGGACTGGAGGTAACCCGTGTGACGTCACCATGTGCGTAACGACTGAGGCATGACGTCGCATGGATGGCGTCAAACGGTGAATACCCGAGCGCGGCTGGATGAGTCCATGCATTGTCGGTTTTGAACATGCGCTCGAGATCTGTCTCCGTCCACTGTCATGCAAACGCAAATGTGGGATGACATCTACGTCCAACCACGCTGTTTTTTAGCTTCACTTTAGTCTTAACAACCACTCAGGGTTTCGGGGGATTTTCAGGTTGAAACCTTAAGCGTTTTCGCAGGATTCCTCGGCTGCGTGACGAAAGCCATGAGCGCGCACCAGGCGGACCACAAAGCACAAACAACAAACGTGATGGCGACCGAAACTCCGCCAGTTGTGCGGCACCAGCCCACTGCTCGGTCTTCTCATACCTGGGGTTAAGCCTCCACTTGGCGACCTAGGGGCGGTCTGCACTAATTGAAATGCTGAAAGCTGCCTGAAATTCAAAAAAATGATTTCACTTAGATGCGTAGCAGTTGGTGTTTGCACACCATTGTCCGACATCGGCGTGTCTCCCAAAAATGGATCGCGGAACGACTTGAAAAACGCCCACGCAAATCCACCTCGAATTTTCCCGTTTTTGAAGCCTGGCTTGTGCCTTGCATCACTGTGCTCGGATAGGCTCATGTCTTGTCCTTATATTGCAGACATTTTTTCACCTTTGTCTAATAGTTAAAGTAGGTAATGTTCGTAAGTGATGCTAAAATCGATGCCATTATTTCACACAGTGGGGGTGGATGCGGCGTGCGCGGACACCCAACGTCCGCTGGCTCTTTGTGGGGGCTGACCCCAGTTGGGTCGAACAGTGGCGGCACCACACACCCCCGCCCGTGAGCGGGGTGGTGGCGGCCGTCTCGGTTCGGTGTGCCGTGTCGGCGCTGCTGTCGGCCCCAGCCGCTGTTTCGCTCCGTGTGACCTGGCGCCCCTCTTTCGCCCCGTGCGACCTGGCGCCCTCCCTCGCTCCGTGTGACCGGGCGCCTTCTTTCGCTCCGTGTGACCTGGCGCCCTCCCTCGTTCCGTGTGACCTGGCGCCCCTCCCTCGCTCCGTGTGGCCGGCGCCTCTTTCGCTCCGTGTGACCTGGCGCCCCTCTCGCTCCGTGTGACCGGCGCCCCTCCCTCGCTCCGTGTGGGCGGCGCCCCTCCCTCGCTCCGTGTGAGCGGTGCCCCTCCCTCGCTCCGTGTGACCGGCGCCCCTCCCTCGCTCCGTCCGCAGTGCAGAGTCCGCCGCTCATCACCAAGCAGCCGCCGCCCACCGAGCAGCTGTTCCAGGTGGCGGAGCGCAAGGACGAGAACGACCGGCCCTTCATCATTGAGTGCGAGGCCAAGGGAGAGCCCATTCCCAAGTGAGTCCCGCGCCTGCCGGGCGTTGCGCGCAGCGCGCGCACTGCTGTCCTTGCCGGACGCCGCAGCCGCCAGCTGCCGCGTCAGCCGTTCAAGCGTCGATGACCCGTTTGGCAGCCCGGGAAGGACCGGTTTGGGGGCCCCGGGAGGTGTCCGGCGCTGAGAGGGCGTCGCTGTGCGGCCGGCGCCGGCTGGACGTGTCAGCGGGCTGGCCCGGCGGTCAGCCCGATTGGTCAGCAGCCGTGCTGGGAGCGGCTGGGCCGGCGGCCGTGCTGGGAGCGGCTGGGCCGCCGGCCGTGCTGGGAGCGCCTGGGCCGCCGGCCGTGCTGGGAGCGCCTGGGCCGCCGGCCGTGCTGGGAGCGCCTGGGCCGCCGGCCGTGCTGGGAGCGCCTGGGCCGCCGGCCGTGCTGGAGCGGCTGGGCCGGCGGCCGTGCTGGGAGCGCCTGGGCCGGCGGCCCGTGCTGGGAGCGGCTGGGCCGGCGGCCGTGCTGGGAGCGGCTGGGTCGGCGGCCGTGCTGGGAGCAGCTGGGCCGCCGGCCGTGCTGGGAGCGCCTGGGCCGCCGGCCGCTGCGAGACGCCAAAGGGGGAAGCAAGTTTGCGCGCTTCACCGCACCCGCACGTTGGAACAGCTAACGGTGGTGGCGGCCAGTGGCAAGCGCGTCGGACTCCCGAGTGTTGGGGGGGGGGGGGGGGGGGGGGAGGGGAGGGCTTGAATCCCGGTTGCGCCATGGCCCCTGAGCGCTTTCATGGCCTAAGCAGTCGCCGGGCTCCACAAAAACGGTGTGATGACATGCGTCGTGATCCTTTAAAAAAGAACGGCAAACGACCATTGCTCCCTTGAGAAGTTGTTTGGTTTGATTTTGGCGGTTTCGGAAAACGAATCTGTACCTGAATGTCCGAAAGTTGTCTGAGACGTGAGTCGATTGCGATGGTCTGTCCCTCATGTGCTTCCAGCACCGCTAGAGGGTGCGACATTGTGGCAGAGTTGGGGGAGGGATTGTCACCGTGTTTCTCCCTTCGTCCTTCATCCCCGACAAAATGATCCAGGCCGTGTTTGATCTGTCGTCAGCAGGTTTGTCAGCTGGAATGCGTGACGTCATGCGTGCTGACGGAGCATTCGATGTGCGGGCTGACGGGAAAGTTTTTTAACTTTGCTTTCCCTTTTTTCTTTATCTTTTACTTCAGACCACACATTAACTGGCTTACCGACGACCATGACGCACTTCGTACAAAGTGGTGTTTGGAAGTGTGGCGTCTGTTATGGTATGTCCATCATCTATCCCATCCGTGTGTTGAGTGCTTCTTCCTTTTTTCCAATTGATTTCAATTTCAGCCATCTCATTTTAGATGTTGACTTATAACGCCATTAATTTACTGGGCAACGCAACCGCACACCACACCAATCACTGTCACTCACCTTTGCATGGCTACTCTTAGCTTTTCAATTCCCTCCTTATCCATCTTACGTCGCATTTCTCCAAAATCAGAGACAAGCGCCCCCACCCCACCTAACGTACTCGTCAACGCAAGACTTGCCAAATCAAGCTCCCGCCTCAGTCAGAAGGATTTTTCATCTGGTAGCGCTTCCTCTCCATGCTGACGCGCTGACAAACAATCCTGACATCATCTTTAGCCGGCGCGTGACGTCACAGGCGACGTGACTTCATGGGCACGCTTAGGGCGAATACTGGGCCGTGATTGGTGCTGACAAACGTGGCATGTGGCGTGCCAGGCGTGTCACCAAAATTTGATTTAAAAAAAATTGAGGGGCAAAACAGTGACTGCGGGGAGTGGCCGCAGTGGAGGGAGCGGGACGTGGACGGCCACTTGCTTGTGGCTGGTGGTCGGCGGGAATAAACATGGCGACTGGAGAGTGGTGGTAGTGGAGCGGGAGGTGTGTGTGTGTGAGGGGGGGAGGGGTCCTTGCTCTAGGCTTGTGATTGGCGGAAATAAACATGATATAACGCGGGCCCGTCCTGTCGTCAGCGGGGCCACGCGGCGATCCAGGGCAGTGACGTACCCCCGTCTGGAAGCGCAGGCTGATGGCACGGAGACTGTGTCGTCTTCGCATGTCAACGATTACGATACCATGCAGTGTAGCAACGGGAACCTCGCCGAGACGTGTGCCTTGTTTAATCTTGATCACGTTGGTATGTGATCGTGGGTATTTGGAGCAAATCCCGATGATGTTTGTACCGCAAATGTCGCGGTGCCCTCGCCGCCGCCCGTGATCGGCTGATTGTCAGTGGTCGGTTGCCGACCGTACTGGCGGTGGATTTGCCGTGCAGCGTTTATGACAGAACCGCCTCAGCAGGGGAACGAGACATTCTACAGAATTCTTGTTGTAAAAACAGCGTAATAAGTGCCGCAGAGACTACTGAAATGTGAGCATGATTACACAGCATGCCAGGAAGATATTGATTACAAAAATAGAGTGGCTCTGACCCCTGCCCTTACCGGGGTAAGGGAATCCGCCCCCGCAGGTCCGAGTCCTTATGCCGGTCAAAGGCCCGTGTGCGCCATCCGATGGCCCAACGATAATGAGGTACCCCATGTCGGCTGCGTGTTGGTGTTGGGGCGCATCGCCTAAACAGGGGCAAGCTTAAGCCTGCGAATGCCATTTAGAGGGCCTCTTGCATTGGTCGAGAATCGTGCAGAAATGGGGAGCCCGCCATGCCTGACGGGGATCCTGTGTCGGCAAAGGGCCTCGAGTCAATCAGGGGCGAGTTGCAAACGGGGACATGAGCAGCGACTTGACCCCGCGTGGCAAAGAGACGTGCTGTAGTCATGCACCCTCAGACAAGGAAAGAAGGCATGCCAACAATAGCATGGCAGCAATGACATGACAACAATGGCATGACAACAAATGCATGACAACAATGCAAAGGTCCACAATAGGACAGCGGAAAGGCCCTGCACCAGTCAGGGGCCCCAGTACCGAAGAGGGCCCTCTTATCCCGTTTCGGCCAGGGGGCTTCATAAGCAGACCTGGGGACTCTGTGCCAGTTCTTGAGTAGCCTGTGTCGTTAAGGGCCCCTTTTGCGCCGTGGGGAGCCGAGCAGTTTGCCTAAGTTTGCCTAAGTTTGTTTGTTTGCCTAAGTTTGCCAGTTTGCCTAAGCAGACACAGCTACCTGAGTCCCTCTCGGCTCAGTTGTGTCGCCCTCAGTTGTGTCGCTCTCAGTTGTGTCGCGAGGATAAGTCAGGGATAAATTTGATGATGACTGTGCCTTGCTGGCGGCGCATCTGTACGAGCATTGAAGCTATACCGATGTATTACACATTTGTCGTTGCCTATGGTGAGAAACAAGGCCCGCTTTCCTGAGCTGTTTTCAAGGAATTGTCGGGTGGGGCGGGCGGTTTCTCAAATTTTGGCTGCGGGGTGAACTTTCCAAATCGCGAAAAGTGGTACCTGTACTCGCGATCCGTAAATGATCGGCGAGCGGTCCTCCTCCGGGTTAGCGCAGGAGTCAGGACAGGAGTCACGACAGGAGTCAGGGCAGGAGTCAGGACAGGAGCGCGCTGATGTGCTGGGAATGTTCGTCGGCCGTAATCGCCAGATCATGGGCTTTCCTTGCGTCATGACCTACGGTGGGTCGCAGCGATACAAGCTTTGTTCGTCGCATGCGTGTGTGGGACCATCCAACCATGCCGGCGGCCTTTGCTTGGTATCAAGCCAGGAGGCTGCTGCCGTGATACAGCTGCCGGCCGTGTGAAATAAGTAGCCTTGTGCTTTGCTCTGGGGGTTGGGCTACGTTACGCCATGTACCTGGAATTTTCCGAATTGCGAGCTGGGGGAAGACGGTGTTTCCCCTGCCGTGCGTCAGGGAAGCGTCTGCCCCATCTGCCCCCCGCCCCCTCCCCCCTCGCGCTCTTGGCGTCGCCTATGGACCCCTGGTGTGCAACAAACCTCCAGCACCATCGGCTCGGTGGCCGAGCGATAATTATGTGTTAACCTATGCCAAGCGTCAGTGCGGTCCTCAGCCTACCCTGCAAGACAGCGGATTAAATTCCTCTGGAAAGTAAGCCATCAGCTTTTCTGGACATTTGTTGCCTGGTGCCTGCTTTCGCGGTGACACATGTAGCACGAATCGCGACGCGAAAGGAGGCCACTACGCCCCGGTCGCGTGTGTCACAGCCATTTGGAGGGGGCTGTTCGGCCGCCTCGGACCCCCCCCCCCCCCCCCCCAGTATCCATGTAGTTGTCCAGGCTGGGAGGTCGCGGCGAGCGCGCGGCGCCGCTATCGCGGGACGCGCGCGCCGGAAGCGGGCGCTCACGCCTGGTGCGGTTTTCTCGATCCCCGCGTTGTCGTGGCGCCGGCCGGGACAGCCCGCTGCCGCCGGGTACACCGCCGGGAAGTCTTTCGGGACCCGTGGATTCCAGCGCGTGCGTCAATGATGCGGTCAGCAGCAGTAATGGGGTGTGGTTAAGATGCATATGCGGGCTGCATGACCTTTAGCAGTCGATGCGCCCTAAATCCCCCCCCCCCCCCCCAAGATGCATATGCGGGAAACCAGAGGTACGGAGTTCGGTTCCCCGCGGTGTCGCCCTTCCTGCCAGGGCGGGAGACGGGCGACGCCATGTAGCCCCAGCGGCTGAGTGCGTCGTAAGGCCCCAGTGACGACGACACCAATGAGTTGGAGCGAAACAATGCCGAGGCCACACCCATGACTTCCATCCTAAAGAAGAGCGTCTGCGGTATCTGTCGTCGTGAAACTCGCTCCCAAATACACGGCAGTGCGGCCCAAGCGACAGTTGCCTTGCCCTGACTGTGGCATCGCTGTAAAGCCCGTTTTAGACTGTTGTCTTAGAACTTGAAATTTTGCTGTATATAATGCGCCGGTTTTTTGAGATGCTCGATGTACCTAGGTAACGCGGTTCGGCCAGCACCCAACACACACGTTGCTGCTTTCGGACGGCATACGAGGTCACTAGCCGCGTCGACTGAGCTTGGCGTAACGCTGTAAGGAGAGACGTCGTATTTTCGACACCTGGAGCGCTCAG